CAGTAACACACCAGTCCCACCAGTATCGCCTAATCCCCGTTCACCAAGTGCTTCCAGTCCCCCCCAGTCCTCCCAGTATCTTATTATCCCCATTCTCCCCACCATTCCCAGTGTTCCCAGTGCTCCCAGTCCCCTCACCCCATTCCTGACCCCATTTTTTCCTGTCTCCCCAGTGGCCCCAAAAGAATTTACGGCCTGTACTCTCCCACTCCTCCCAGTGCTCCCAGTCCCCCCAGTCCCACCCAATCCCCCCAGTATCTTATTATCCCCATTCTCCCCACCATTCCCAGTGTTCCCAGTGCTCCCAGTCCCCTCACCCCATTCCTGACCCCATTTTTCCCTGTTTCCCCAGTGGCCCTGAGAGAATTGATGGTCTCTACTCTCCCAGTGTTCCCAGTCCTTCCAGTCCCCCCCAGTCCTCCCAGTATCTTATTATCCCCATTCTCCCCACCATTCCCAGTGTTCCCAGTGCTCCCAGTCCCCTCACCCCATTCCTGACCCCATTTTTTCCTGTTTCCCCAGTGGCCCTGAGAGGATTTATGGCCTGTATGAACAAGTGAGCTACAACTGCTTCATCGCCGCTGGACTCTACGCTCTGCTGGGAGGATTCTCCCTCTGCCAGAGTCGCCTCAACAAACGTAAAGAGTACATGGTGCGTTGAGGGGACCCCCAAAATCGGATGTTCCTGTTTCCCCAGTGGCCCTGAGAGGATTTATGGCCTGTATGAACAAGTGAGCTACAACTGCTTCATCGCCGCTGGACTCTACGCTCTGCTGGGAGGATTCTCCCTCTGCCAGAGTCGCCTCAACAAACGTAAAGAGTACATGGTGCGTTGAGGGGACCCCCAAAATCGGATGGGGCACAAAACCTCAGCTCAGGGGGAACCCCAAAAATCACCACAAAACCAGGAAAATATTTGTGGGATATTCCAAAATCTCCATGGAAAATCCCAAAATTTCAGCGAAATCCCAAAATCCCCAGTGCTCCCAGTATCCCAGTTTCCCCATGGGTTCCCAGTCCACCCAGTGCTTCCCACAGGATTCCCAGTCCCTCCAGAGTTCCTGTGGGAGCCCCAAAATCGGACAGGGCACCCCAAAAAACCTCAGGGGGAACCCCAAAAATCACCACAAAACCAGGAAAATATTTGTGGGATATTCCAAAATCTCCATGGAAAATCCCAAAATTTCAGCGAAATCCCAAAATCCCCAGTGCTCCCAGTATCCCAGTT